TGAATCACCTCAAAAATCCAATGGTTGGGATCAAAGAACTACACTGGCTACATTGGGACAGCACCCTCGTTCTTATTGCATTTTAACTCTAACATATTTTTAGATGACATTTTTTGATTGGCCAAAAATCAGCTTATTGCTCATACCCTTCCAGGTCATGTGACCTAATCACTCCAAGAAATAATGCTGGGTCAAAGATCAACACTGGCTTGCTAGGACACACTCTTTCTTAGTTGCATTTTAGCAACTCTAAATAGGTTTTTATATTAATATCGTTGAATGGAACAATTAGCTTATTTCTTCAATACCTTCCAGGTCATGTGACCTACCATTCACTCAAAAAAAATGACTGGGTCAAGAACTAACGACTGGCGCGAAGGACACACCTATTTGTATTGCATTTTATACTCCTAAACTATATTAGAATATAATAGTTTTGACTGGAACGATGTAGCTTTATTTGCTTCATACCTTCCAGGTCACTGTGACCTATATCACTCCAATCAATGTTGGTCAAAGAACTACACTGGCTGCATAGGACACACCTATTTGTAACTTCCTATGTCCCATTTAGACATTGACGCGTACAGAATTTCTTATGTGCTGGAAATTCTGCTTGAGAGATTATTCTCGTATGCCTATTTTGATGGAACGATTCAAGTCCTTATTTTGGACATTTCAAGATCGACTCTTTCTGCCAGTGTTTCTAAGTGACCTAATTATCACTGTGCAAATATTGCTTGCGAGACGTTGTTGTGATCTGAAAGCCTACATCATTCGCTCTGACATAGCATTGGAAACTAAACACCTCTATATTTATTTGCAATATTATATACATCTACTCACTAAAATATTATTTTAGGATAACAATTTATATTTGATTGGAAAAAATCAGCTTATTGCTTACAAATATCCCTTCCAGGTCATGTGATCCTATAATCACTCAAGAACATAGATATAATATAGTAATGCTGGGTCAAAGAACTGACACTTGGCTAGCATAGGACACACCTCTTTTTATTGCACTTTTAGCAACTCTAATAATATTTTTTATAATAAATACATTTGATATTATATGTGAAAAAAATATTTTTACGCGTATAATATATTATATATATATTACTATATTTCATAGGTCATGTGATTCACATATATTATCGTTATAGATAATTTCATTGAGTAATCATAGTTGGTCTTTATCACATTTAACTATGGCCATTGGCTGCATAAGTATGCACATTTACAGATATTTTAACATGATATGAGTGATAACACCGTGTTATAAGGGCTATTTTAGGTAGGTGTGGCCTTGCGAGTTTTTACTTGTCCTTTGGTGTCCTTGGGCCCAAAAAGTTTGGGAACCACTGAACCTACGGAGTATAAGACCGTTGGAAAGTTCACGCCCCTTCTCGTCTGTCCTCATGCCTCTTGAGATGTGTGCCTAAATTAAATAACGCCGTGATGGATGGCTAAAACTTGAACGACTGAGATTATACACCTTTCTGGCTGCAGGAGACACAAAGGTTAAGTCTAAATCCTGCTAACAGGGCGGACTGGCCATCTGTGTGTTGAACTTTTCCTGTCGGCCATCCCAGACCGTAGTCGAGGAGGGCAGAAGCAACAAGTTTCAGGTTCAATAACCCACATTAGCTTAAATGACTGGAGAGAAGCGAGCACTTCTTGGGATGCCGTTGCATTTATTTAGCTGTTCTTCCGTTTCACAAAATACATCACAGACCTCTGTTTTTCTTCTTCCTCGTTTCACTTCCAGAAACACACACACGTTCCCTCACTGTCGCTCTACCATCCACAAACACACATGCACAAGCCACACCCCTCTCTCTCTCTCTTAAAGGGACAGCGATCTCATCTCACTCTGCATGACCCTAATATCATAACATGTGTGCTCTGGAGAATCACAGAACGGACGATCGTCCTTATTATTATGCCGTTTAAACCAATTATTTAAATGTGTTTGTTAAGTTGCACTGACAGGTCCACACACTGCTTCCCCGCAGCGAGGCTTCCCCGCAGCGAGGCTCCCCCGCACTCCTGCTGATAGTTGACGAGCGTCAAGCTCCTCAACGCCCCCCCCCGTTGATAATTCTCGATTGTTGGCACGCTGATAACAATTTTTTTTTTAAATGGAACTTCATATCCGAAAGGTTGCCGACCCCTGCACTATATGATTCATGGCTACTCAATTAAAACTCAGGAGGTCAGGTTAATAGCCTCCCCCTTTCTATCAAATATAAACCATCTATATTAATGTCAAAAGTATTTACTGTCAATGATCAAAGTGTTATACTTTTAACATAGAGCTAGTGAATGTGTATGGGACTTGTTTGAACAAACTCTTTACCATAAATAAATGCAGTCCTAGCTAGGAGTGTCTCGATATACCTATATTGGTGAGAGCCATCATGTTTAAAAAAATAGAGGTCAATTATCCCGTGGCTCTTGAATTATAACATAAGATATGTCTTTTTGTACATGTCTTTTGCCCCCCAGAAAGAAACCTACACTCAATTCACTCACAAAGGATGAATTTGACTGATTTTCTATAGACATTTTGTTAATATTGTGCTATTCTGAGTTTGTATGCCCATGATAATCATGTATGCAAAACCTGATATTTTAACAGTCCCGTTCTTGGCCGAAATTTCAAGTAAAACACTACAGGACTTTTGTAAAAAATAAATACTTCCATAACTTAGTGACATATGTAACACTCGCACTGCTGTTGGCTAGTGCTCCAACACATTGTACATGGTCACTGTAAGCTGTTGACAAATCACTTTTTGAAAATTAAGCATGAAACATGTCATGGTAGAGGAACAAAATATAAATATGAACCTGAACATTAGCATAATAGGGCCCCTTTAATCTATTTATTTTTATCTTTATTTTTCTTTAGAGAGAAATGGGATCCACCTGTAAGAATTTATATGTTAACCATTAATTCATTTAAATTGTAAATAAAGCATTCGCCTTGCTATTTTATTCTCATTCTCTAGTTATATGTATGATGGTGAATCAGATGTTTCAAAATCAAATGTCACTAAAGCATTGTTCTGTACACACAGTGTATTTAAAGTCATGACTATGTCACTACATCCCTGCATGGCAGTGCTATGAGGCATACAAATGACTTCCAGTGAGACAGAAAATAAACCCTTGAAACTGTCATTCCATATTCAGTCCTCATTACTCGATGTAGAGAGCTGAGCGGCTAATGAGAGGCTGTCGCTAAATCTAGGGCAAATTATATGTATGTGTAATGGCTGTTTGAAATGTGTGTGTGTGAGTGTGTAAAACTCACCCCGGTGACATATCTCGGCCTGAACTGGATCGTGCCAAACAGACCCAGGATGACGATGATGATGTGGAGGAAGTTGGTCAGGATGGGAGCCCACTGGTAGCCCAGGAAGTCGATCACCTGACGCTCCAACACACTCACCTGAGAGAGGAAGTTAGTGGTTAGAAACAAAAAAAATGATCAACAGTTGAGTCTTGCAACGGCAAAAGCTTAAAATTGTAAAAATCAAGTTCCTTGACTTCTCGACCTGGGCTGACACCTTTTTAAAAAAAAAAAAATTATCCGGGGGAAAAAAATCCCAGGACCGCGCGCGCGTGTGTGTGTGTGTGTGTGTGTGTGTGTGTATATTTCCAGGTTTATTATCATTCAGCCACTGAAGCCTCATGCTGAGATAGTTAATGAAGTCAGCAGAGCATATGATACAGCACTGCTAAATATATTAACACACACACAGGGGGACGGAGAGGGAGAAGACATGAGGATGAAGATGAAGCAGAGGACAGAGGAGGCGGGGCTTTAAAAATAAAAAATAAATACCATTGGTAGCTTCATTCAGCCCAAAAAACTGAAAGTGTTAAATCGCAACAGCGTACATCAGCAAAGTTGTTTATATCCTGTTAGTCTCACTGGCTTCACACACACACACACACACACACACACACACACACACACACACACACACACACACACACACAAACTCTTCTGGATGGCTGAGTGTGAGAGCCCTAATGTGTGACCATATGGCAACACTACAGCCTTTCACAGCCACATAGCAGGTTAACACACATACAGTCACACACTGGGTATCCCACACATAAACTGACTTTGTCTTAAGTACACCTATTCAACGTTCCATTTCCCTATAATGGTACTTATCGGAAGTGAGAGTTAAAGAATAAGAATGAATAAATGTGTGTGTGTGTGTGTGTGTGTGTGTGTGTGTGTGTGTGTGTGTGTGTGTGTGTGTGTGTGTGTGTGTGTGTGTGTGTGTGTGTGTGTGTGTGTGTTTCCATGTCAGCGCAGGTCTGCTGTGCTTGCATTTGACAGCACCTGCTGTTATTGGACACACTGGGCTCAGCTGGCACCACAATGTGTGTGTGTGTGTGTGTGTGTGTGTGTGTGTGTGTGTGTGTGTGTGTGTGTGTGTGTGTGTGTGTGTGTGTGTGTGTGTGTGTGACACGGTGTCTCTTTGTGTCTGTGCTTCTATGTCCCTTTCTGTCTGTTGTGTATCTGATTCATTTTATTATGTTAAAGTGTGTCCTTCCTTTTACAATTATATAGTCCTGCAATTGTGTCTCTCTCTGGCTACCTCTCACACTCCCATACACACACGTGCACAAAGGCCATTATAAGAAGTCAGAGGCCTCCCAGCCCATTACCGAAGCCCCTGGGGGCCCCTCTTTCATCAACAATAATATAAACAGTCTTCACTCCAGCTGGGACGTGCGCACACTCCCCAAAAAAAACACAATAAATCACGTGCAAACACAATGGGTGGCGGGTTAAAGAATTAGTTTGCACGCTCTTGATGTAACAACCATATTGATTTCTCTTGGTTATTCCTACACACACCCTAATGATCAGTCAGCAAAATCTAATCCTTTTTCTGCTGGTGTTTATTTGAACCTGAGTAATAAAGAGGAATATTCCAAAGCAGACCATCTGTTCATTTGGACTTCGCTCCATCTTTTGACATGAAATTCTCATTACATGCTTCAGCTGTGAAACAACTAACTTCAGCTGCCTCGGTTCATCACTCTCTGTAATTAAGTCACCGCATTCTCTTGACAGACAAAAGACAAAGCACGGGCAGCCGCGCTCTGCCGTAATCCCAGCATCCTTTGCACGTGTCACACGGCAGAAGCTTCAGATAGGGTGTGAAGTCGCCTGGCCTTTCAACAACTGCAGTATGACTCCGGGGAGAGAGAGAGAGACAGAGAGAGAGAGAGAGAGAGAGAGAGAGGGAGCTGCAGACAGTGTTGACGCTAGCAGCAGCTACGTCAGTTCAGTGATATGAGCGGCTGATGAGAGCTTTGCCTCCTGTACAGGTGGAGCTTCAAGCTGGCGAGCCCGGGTCCTGTGGGATCTGCTGCGACAGGCTTTGATACTGCCGACAGAGATGTTGTTCCTTTCACTGGTGCTGCTTAAATAAAGCACAAGGGTGGGGGGCATGTTCACATTCAGGTTGTTTATCTACGTTGTGCATCCACCTGTGGAATTAGCCTTAATGTGAGTTTATTTTGTAGAGGCAATTCTTTCGAGTTGCAAGTATTGACAGGAGAGTTTTTTTCTTCTCTTAAATCTAATGTGCCTCTGCAGTGGCTGCCCAATCTGGAGGTGAATAAACGCTGACAAGCCTGCTATGAATATATATAATGTGTCTATGAATATGTGCAGTGCTGTATCTGTGTGTGTGTGTGTGTGTGTGTGTGTGTGTGTGTGTGTGTGTGTGTGTGTGTGTGTGTGTGTGTGTGTGTGTGTGTGTGTGTGTGTGTCACATAAAGCAGAGAAAAAAGTAAGTTGGAGATGCAGTTGCTTTCTCACAATCCGTCTCATGTCGGCACAGAATCCCTCAGGGACCAAGGATGTTTATTTCACTTATTTTTCTGTTTGCACACACTGACGCTCGAGCCCTTGTTATGAGTTTCCAAATGCATTAGTTGGCTGAGAGCCTGAATACAGTAATAATGACGTTTTGTCGAAGAAAAATCCTGACTACTTTAGTCTAGTTTTAGTCAATAAAAACTGTTACCCTATTATGCTTTCTGGGGTTTTGCCTTTCCTGTATTACGTAATATAGCTTTTGGTGCATGTACATGGTCAGCAAAGGCCTTAATTCCAACGTTTATTTCCCATAACCCTCCCTCCTCCAACAGCTCCAACATATTGTAAGTAATAGGCTAAGGGGCGGGATATCTAGAAGTGGTTGACAAATCACAGCAAAGTCAGCCAGCTAACCAATCAGAGCAGACTGGGATCTGGTTTCAGACAGAGGGCGAAAAGAGGAGCTGCAGCAGAGGTTTTTGAACATCAAAGCATGTCACAAATACAAATATGAACCTGGAAATGAGCATTTTTTAAAGCTTGTGTGAAACATTTCAGTCAATCTATCTAGAATATCAGCACGTTTCTCTGTGGGATGTCGTCATTTGTAAGTTTAATTTACAGCAAGTCCTCCAAACTATGATCATGTGTTTTGCTGGTGTATTCCTAATCAACAGTATTGCATGTCTATTTGATTTGCCTTGCCATTAAAGTACAGCTAAAGATAGACGGATAGCCCAACATGTGTCGATAAACGTACAGTTAGTGTGTCATGACATCATTTTCTTAAGAAACTTGTTGAAACGCACAATTATTTGTAAACAATATGACCATAACTACCGAGCTAGAGTGAGTGCATCCATTCTTCCACATAACATAGGGCCAAATAGTGGCACAGAGCATTTTAGAAGAAAAAGTGAGCCACGACACGAACACAAATGTACCCAGTCCGGAGACATGTCAATGAAGTAATGGAAAAAGACACTTAAACACTTAGGGAACAGATTGGCAGCGGAAAGACAGGGCTGATGAAAGGGACGGCAGAGAGAGGCGGAGGACACAACAAGGAGGAAGTCTTCAGTGAGTATGGGAATACATTTTTGATAATGAAACGATAGGATGCTTTCAAAAGGCGTCATATTGCTCCAGACAGGGAGACAGCTGCACTGTGTGACCATCATGAGACTTTTGTCTTTTACCCGGAACAGAGGAGGAGAGGAGAGAGAATATAACGATGAGGGACAGAGACAGGCCGAGAGATGTGATGAGAGGCCCTGAAGAGATAGAGAGGTAATTAAGATCCGACAGCTACTGAGGATAGAGGAAGAGATGAGGGAGTGGCAGTGGGTGAGAGAAGAGAGAATGTCTCATCTTCTCACCCTTCAATTCCTCCCTCCTCACCTTTTTTCCCCTCTCTCGCCCACTCATTCTTCTCCCTTCTCATTTCCTTCTGCTTCCCTGTTCTCCACATGGCCCCCTGCTCTCTTTCCTGTCTTACATATTTAATACGCATTCATCTGTTACCAAATCTGTTGTGTCGTAAAACAGCAAATTACCACACCTCCTTTCCTTCCATTGCTCCCCCTCTTCCCTCCTTTATGCTCTACCTTCTGTCTCCGCTTTTTCTTCTTCTCTATTTCCACCTTCCCTTTGTGCAGCATGTCCTTCTCTATAGCTCTCCTCCCTACATCCTCCACTCTGCATGGCCCTCTTATCTCTTCCTCTAGCTTGCCTCCTTCCCTCCCTTGTTCCCTCAGCGCTTTTGGCCGAGAGTCTTTGCTTTGCTTCTGTGACCTTTAAAAAACTGCTGATCAAATTCTGCTGCTCATCCCATTATAGACGACAGAAAGTAGAGAGGAGGAAAGGGGGAGTGGGATGGCGAAGAGGTTTGACAAGGGAGGACGAGATAAATAGCCAGAAGAAAGCTGGGGTAAGAGACGGGAGAGGAGAGGAAGTAAGGGAAGCAGCATGGAATAGAGAATAAAACAGGCAGAGAAAGTGAGAAAATGACCAAACAACACTTTATGAGTCAGACAGGAAGCATCACGACTGAGTAGCACATCGAGGTAAATATATACCGGGTTTCTCCTCCTTTATTCGGAAACCATAATTTTTTTCCGAAGCCTCTGTATCCCTCGTAAACTTTATTCTACCAATAAAACTCCAAAGCGATCGTGGTTCACTGTTAACTTAATTAAGGCCGCCTGCCTGTGCCGTATCCCACTGTGTACAGCAAAAGCAATCTCCTATCGATTCGGTTCACACAACGATCAATTCATCTCCATTGGAGGCTATTAGGGACCATTTGTGGCTACTTAGGGCTCGGAGAGAGAGAGAGAGGAAAAGACGGCAGGGAAGATGGGGGGAGCAAAGTGATAGGGGGGAAAAGATATAAAAAGGTGTAGAGGAAAGAAAAGGGGAAGGGAGGGCAAATGATGGAGAAGAAAAGAGAAGGAGGGCGGAGATGGAAAAAGACAATGATGATCATAGGTGAAACCCTTCCATTAAATATCCAATTTCCTCACTCAAACTCATCACAACTGCTCAATAATATCTGTAAAAGCAATAACGTCCTTAGTTGCCCAGCTATAGATAGA